TTTAGAAGATTTTGTTTTAGATGCGCAATATCTTGGCTCTGCAGGGTTTGTTTATAATTGGAAAGTTTGGACGCAATATACTCCAATACCTTTGGGAATAACTTCCCCCAAGATGCATTAATTAACAATTTCAAACAAGTTTGATGGTCCTGGGTCTTACAGTGTGCAGGATATATTACATAGGCTGGACACTGTTTCACTATGTATAGCTATAAAATTCTAAAATGAGGCCACGGTCACTTTTTTGGAATCTCCCAAGATGGCGAAAATGCATCAATAAAAGTAGAAGATATGATAGACGGAGAGACCAGGTATCCCGTGCCAAAGAACGATAAAATAGCAATTCAGAAGACAGGCAGATAACAACTGATAACCTTTACTTCTTTTACAGCAGATAATCAATCAGTTTTCATTATTAATTTAGAACAATGAAGACAATATTTACTTTAATGTGCATGGTTTGTATTATTTTCGAATTAAAGGATATGCAATCTCTCTTCATTCAATAGTTGACTATCAGTAATCATATCTCTTACCAAGGTCCACGCAGAGGAAATGCTTGACAAGGTTTTTCATCAATGGATAATTATTACAGATTTTAATTAAATTTAGACTCAAGAGTAAACAAAATGCATTTGATGGTGACTCCTAGTAATCAGGTATAGAATCAAGATATCGGCTTTAACATAGAATTTCCGCCTACACACAAGGCTGGAAGGGGGATTACTAGAAAGCATTCTACCTCTATGTATCTGTCTGTAGACAAATCTAGGGTTTAGCTCAGAATTCGAAGCTAATGGTCATCCCTTCCCAACTTTGTAGAAGTGTTATATACTATTTTACATAAGAACATTTTTATTGACCAGTCATTTTTTCAAAAAAAAATTATTACTGTTTTAAAGTTACATTTAACATTTCAATTATATTTTTGTTGAAATTGTTTCTATAACCGTGTAATGTTATTGATTCAAGAATTTAATGAAATAGTTATTTTTCATATGAATCTATTCACCTTGAATTTCAGACTGATCTGTCAAAATGTAACAATATATAAATACTGCATGTAGTTTGAGTGTAACTTGACAATAGTTTTCGAGGGATGAACATTTTCAATGTAACACTCAACTACATGCAGTATTTATTAATTTATATTATACTGAATATTTCACACAAATACATATTACAGTGAACCTTGCGCGCATAAATTCTGCGCAGTCAGTATTTTTTGGAATACCACATGTCGTCAAGCAATATCGACTGTTGCTAAGCTGGAGGGCGTGGCTTCATTATTCAGCGGGTAATAGTGTTTTTAAAACAAATGTTTCTCGACGAATTAGATTCAACTAATTTACATGAAAGTATAATATTTAAAATTATGCCTTTTTTACATGTAATATTTCACTATGCATAGATATTTCTCTGATTAAAGATCTTATGGAGATTTGAGGGGTACCAGTAAATAGAGACCAACTGCCTGTACATCTGATTGTATTTTTCTTCTATTCCGGACAATAACTTTGCAATAACGTAAAATTCATATCAGGAATAAAGGTTGCACTTGATCTGATTGTATGCCATAGCCAAGTGCTCAAGAGCTAAATTCATTTGGATAAGTTCAAGGCAGCTAACTGCCAAGGCCAAATCTTTATTGGTTGCACTGTAAAAAGATTAAAATTGACACAAAGATCATCACAAAGTTGCGCATGAAATGATAATGTGTCTTCATTTTGAGCAAAGGCACTCTAGAAATATCAAAATAACACTATTAAAAATCTATACATTCTTGTTTGAACTGTTGATTTTAGTACAGACAATTTTCTCCTACTTCTCAGAAATCAAATGATAAAATGATTGCCCATAACCTGAGGGTGTGTTTAATTTGATGCAAGGTCATTTGGATATGGCTAACATTTAAGGGTGAAAATGTGTAAAATTTATGTAATGGCTAAACATTCGTCATGGAGAGATTATAGAATAGTATTGACACAAAGCAAATTTAGACATGTACTCGGCACTAGTCGAACGGAGAGAGAGTTACTGCCACAAGGGACCGAGGTCTCATCCGAGGAACCAGTAGTCACGTTCCACAGGGAATATTCAAACTCGCAATTAACGTATGGATCAACTCCTTCGCGACTCTAGACCGAAACACCCTAACCACTGTTCCACACGGGCGACACTGTATCTGTTGACGATTGAAAATTTTTAGTCGGGCCTATTTGCAGACTGCAAAAGTATTAGCGCCGGAAAAGAGGAAGGTGTATATACCAAACAGCAACAAATGCAAAAGTTACTGAAATTTTAAGCTGTCAATCTACTTTCTTATTACCAATTTCTTTATTGCTTATGTTGCTGATTGCTCATCGGAAATTCACTTTTTGCTAGTCCTCAGCTACTTTTGTCCTTGGTCTATTTTTCATTGCTTATTGATGATTTTGTCGTCGCTGTTGTTGTTGATTTGATCAGGTAATGAAATCTTTTGTTATACCTTTATAAATAATTTGCTATATAAATCTTACAAAAGAAAGTCTAGTATTTCCAATGTTCATACTCAGCAGTCCAAAAAGATGATCTTTGATCTGTTCGTGAGATGTTTGACCTCTATGAGTATTTTACGTCACACTTAATTTGCATTCGTTAAACAATCATCCGACGCAAGTCAACACACGTCTAATTTGCATTTAAATTGGTGTTCCGAGTTAAATTTTGACATCTGCATCACAAACACGGAAGCTGCGCCAGATAATTTTTAAAGGTTAAACAAACCATTTCTCATTAGGCTTTGAATGCGTTTAGCAGAATCCTCGAACCAAACTGTTGCCTTCGGCCTAACGTCAAACGGTTTAGTTCTCGGGTTCATAAAACTCATGTTTCTTCGAACTCGGTCAATATGTACCGTTTCAATCATGAACATAGAACAGAAAGTGTCAAAGAGTGTGGATTTATGAAGTACGAAAGCCTATTAGGATCAAACTACAGTTAAAAAAAAATTAAAAGGCGTTATAACGCCTTTTTAAAAGGCGTTATAACGCGAAAAAAGGCGTAATAACGCCTTTTAAAAAGGCGTTATAACGCGGAAAAAGGCATAATAACGCAAATAAAGGCGTAATAACGCCTTTCCAAAAGGCGTTATAACGCGAAAAAGGCGTTATTACGCCTTTCCAAAAGGCGTTATTACGCCTTTTAAAAAGGCGTTATTACGCCTTTCTAAAAAGCGTTATTACGCCTTCCAAAAAGGCGTAATTACGCCTTTCCAGAAGGCGTTATTACGCCTTTCTAAAAGGCGTTATTACGCCTTTTTAAAAGGCGTTATTACGCCTTTCTAAAAGGCATTAATACGCCTTTCAAAAAGGCGTTATTATGCCTTTTGAAGGGCCATTATTATGTCTTTGACAGGCCCGTGCTTCTAAAGTGGGAGGGGGGGGGTACCATAAAATTGACAAGCAAACAAAAAAACAAGAAACCCCCCCCCCCCCCCGAAAAAATAAACTGCCTAAACTTGAAGGGAAACTTATTCTAATTTTTCGGTAAAACTTTTTTTAAATGCAATGACTTGCCCGAGTTTAACCATATTGCAACAAAATGAGGGACCAATCAATTAATAAATGATTTTTTATATTTAAACTATAGCAGGACTATTCTCTCAAAAAGTGGGGTGGGGGAGCCCCCCCCCCCTCACTCGCATTCGTACTACCGGCCTGTTTGAAAAGGAGTTATATCCAAAAATGGAAAGGCGTTATTTTAAAATAGTAAATATATGAAAGATTGAACCAAAGCCATCTTTATTTATGCAATATCTAGAATATAGTTTTAATATTATAAATTACATTATAAATTATAGTATTTTCTATATTCCTGCACATCTCGCAGACAGTTGTTTGCATTTTGCATGCATATTAAGAGAAGTCAACACTCTACTTTTGAAAATCCAGAATATAGGCAGAACCAGCTTTGGGCTTTGCTGGCCACGTATTAAAAATTCATGTCAAATTTGAAATATTTTTCTCTCCTCTTGGTAAAAAAAGGCAAAGTATTTGCATAGGTATAATGAGCAATTAGCCTTCAACCAAATTTCTGAAATCCATGCATCTTGGTAGAGGCGTCTGGCATCAGAGAAGGACTAAGTTGGTTTAACACTGAAAATATTTTACACATTCAAAAATCTTTTTTCCTGGAAATCTAATTATAATCAGCCCCCAGGGTGGGCTAAGTAAGTCATGTATTGAATAAAAAGAGGCGTAATAACGCCTTTTGGAAAGGCGTAATAACGCCTTTTAGAAAGGCGTAATAACGCCTTTTGGAAAGGCGTAATAACGCCTTTTGGAAAGGCGTAATAACGCCTTTTGGAAAGGCGTAATAACGCGAAAAAAGGCGTTATTACGCCTTTTGGAAAAGCGTAATAACGCCTTTTAGAAAGGCGTAATAACACCTTTTGGAAAGGCGTAATAACGCCTTTTGGAAAGGCGTAATAACGCCTTTTTTCGCGTTATAACGCCTTTTCAAAAGGCGTTATTACGCCTTTTAAATTTTTTTTACCGTAGTTTGATCCTAATAGGCTTTCGTAATGAAGTTATAATTTATAAAGTTATAACAATTTAAGATGCAAGTTAGCAACATCTGTATGCATTGCTTGATTCTCAGGTTATCATTCAGGTACATGGATCTCAATTTGCAAAATATACCTCAAAGGTCATAGCTCTTAAAAATTACAAATAGACTTAAGTTTGTCGGGAGAATATTTTATCTATAATAAAGCCTGTCTGTCCTTTAACTGTACTATAATATATAACTTTCTGAATTACCACATGATAATATATGTCTTTATTTTGAGACCTTCGTTCAGTAGTAAGTGGGAGTTTACAAAATACTGTCAATCATGTAAATATTTAAATACCTAGTTTTAAAGCATTCAATAAAATCATGGAAATCCACTCTGAATGTTTATCTATAACATATTTCTTCCTGTTAAGGAATGCTTTTACACTCTGGGGGAAATTTGATGTGACTATACATTCACTCCGGTTAACTTTCTTCATGTCAGGATGAGCAAGTTTCATAATAATTCCACTAATGGCTTATTTTCAAATTTATCTACAACGTCACCACTTATTTCTTCTGCCAATATAACATCCACAATATGGCGGCCAATATCACCTGTCAATGTGACACATTTAGTAAATTCTTCAGTGGATGTAGATTTACTAGAAAATGTCTCCATGTACCTCTGGATCGTGGTTTCACCAATCCTCTTCGTAGTTGGTGTGATCGGTAATGTACTAACTATTGGTGTGCTAAAGCAAATGAAGTTCCAGAAGAAATCCCCACTTTTCTTTCTGTTTGTTCTAGCTTTATGTGATATAATGGTTCTATGTGTTGGACTTAGCAGGTACTGGATTAAAGAAACATTTTCCTTAGATATTCGCGCTCTGTCTGACTTCGGTTGCAAGTTTAATTTGTTCTTTATCTATTGGTCAATGCAGTTATCCTCATGGGTTTTTGTATGTGTTGTTTTGGAACGTTGCATAAAATCTAACTTTCCATATCGTTATCCAAGAATAGTTACTATTCCAAGATGTATATCTTTGGTATTTCTACTAATGTTTATCTTAGCTGGAGTAGATATGCATTATTTCTGGACAAACGGTTTAATTCCAGATGGACCGGAATGGGAGTGTAATTCTCTGACAGACGCATATGGCAATTTTGAAGAATTTGTTTTCACGTACGTGGACTTCACAGTTTTGTCTGTTGTTCCGTCTCTATTGTTAATTGTGATGAACGCAACCATAATTCGTGTGATTCGACATTCTAGAAAATTCCGCAAATCTACCATCTGGGATAAACGCACATATAAAAAACTGAAGAGATTGGATACAAGATTGACCAGAATGTTAGTATATACCAGTGTGTATTTCCTTATGACCACTCTACCTATAAGTATCTACTTCATCGTGGATTCGTATGAAAAAGACTTAAATGATCTTGGGAAAGCGAAAATGCACGTGGTGTGGTCTACTGCCTATCTCTTTCAGTTTACAAATTACACTTTAAAGTCATGTTTGTACAGTTTTACCAACCGAGACTTCAGAAGAAAAGCCATGGGCTTAATTACCTGTAAATTAACAAAACAGGAGAGGTATGTGCATGTATATTATTTTACATTGGGAAAATATTGCCCGTTTAGTACAATATGTTGAACACAATTCTGATTCAATCAGTAAACGTATTTGAACTTAATACATGTATAAAATTATACTGTAGATTCCTTATTTTTCGCAAGTATTTATTATTGCAAAATAGTTCTTTAATATCAAATCGCGAGAACAATAATTTGCGAGTGGGCAGTTAATCAAGAGAATTTGCATGGATTTTAGCACCATGAAAATAAAAGTGAGTAATTTTATTTTTGCAAATGGTATTTCTCGCGAAATTACGCAATTATTAATTCTTTGCGTATATTTAGGAATCTACAGTACATTTTTTAACATAAAACTTTTATTCCATGCCTAATTTGGATCGTTTATATGTACCTTCGACGCCATGTTAAGATTTTTCCCTTCCCTTTTTTTGTAAAACAGGAAATCGAAGAAAGACTTGATATACACCGTTTCAACAACAGAAACACCATTCGAGTCGGAGGATAGCAAGAGTTCTGAGGATTTAGAAGAGAGTATAGTCATCATATCAGATAAACTGTGATAGACGTCAGGCTATCTATAACAGGGATATTCACAAGTTCCCTATGACGTCAGGCTATCTATAACAGGGATATTCACAGGTTCCCTATGACGTCAGGCTATCTATAACAGGGATATTCACAGGTTCCCTATGACGTCAGGCTATCTATAACATGGATATTCACAGGTTCCCTATATCGTTCGAAGATGAGAGGATCATTAGTTACTTTTTCTCTACCATGTGCAACTTCATTTATTATCAAGTGTTATCGGTTTCTTTACAGAGTTTGTGTTAGATATTTATATAGCCTTTACAATGAATAATACGCTTTTTATCAATCATTCCTATTTATGTTACAACTGCAGATTGAAAGATATTTAATTTAATATGGTAACATCATTATTGTGCAAAGAAAAACTGAAAGAAAATTTGTAAATAAGTGTTTTAGGCAGAATTATCTCAAGAATGTATAGTATGTCACTTCAAACTGTCAACGTATGATTCTGCTTGTTGTGATATTTTACTACCATCTATAGAGCATTCATTTTAGCTCACCTTCACTCAAAACTCAGGTGAGCATTTCTAATCACATTCCGTCTAGCAACCATCTGTCCGTCTCAAAACTTTTCACTTTTAGATTTCTTCTCAAGGACCACCGGACCAATTTTAACTTAACTTTAATAAAAGTTTGGTCAAATGAAGGACCACACCCTCTTTGAATGGGAGATAATTATGAATTAAAGAAAACTTAATGGCATCTTTCAAAAATCTTCTCAAGTTCCACTTTGGCAGAAGCTTCATTACGTAGTGTTGATTCAAACTCGTTCAAATCATGAGCCCCGGGATTAGGGCGGAGTCGCAATAGGCAATCAAAGTTTTACATGAGAATATGTAGGTAAAAATCTTTAAAATAAAACATTCTCAAGAATAGCAAAGCCATGATTAGTCATATTTATATGGAAGCATCCCAAGGTAGTTAAGATTCAAGTTTGTTCAAATCATGACATCCTGGGGGGAGAGGGGGTATGGCGGGGCCACAAATGGAGATAAAAATTTTATATATGAATATACTGGAAACATCTTTATAAATCTTTTTATTTTAAGAACAGCTTAGCCATGATTTGTCATATTCATATGGAAGTATTCTCAGGTATTGTAGATTTAAGTTTGTTCACATCATGGTCCTTAGCGGTAGGGAGGGGCCACAAAAAGAGATCATTCTGATTGTATATACAAGTTCTCCGTGAAAAAGATGCTTAAGTTTCTTATTGACAACATATACGTATTTTTGGAGAGCAAGTCTTCCAACAATCTGATGGTATTCGAATGGGTATTAATTCAATGGGAATTTATTCAACAACTTCTACATGAAAAGAAAAAATCCCTTGCTGTGACCTTCATTTCGGCATTCAGATATATCAACGACGTTTTATCAATTAACAATATACATTTTCATTTCTACGTTGATTCGATTTATTCCTTTGAACTCGAAAAAAAAACACCACAGAGTCTGTTTCATATTGGGATATTTTACTAGATAAACAAATTAATGTTAACACAAAACTTTGTCATCGTCAACTTCCCTTATTTATGTAGTAATATATCATTATCACCTGCATATGGAGTTTATGTCTCCCAGTTAATTCGATACGCAAGAACATGCTCTACATTTCTAAAACGGGACAAGCTTTTGACAATAAGTTGATCATACAAGGATATCAACAGTCTCGTTTAAAGTCAACATTTCGCAAATTCTATGACTGATGCAATGACTTTGTTAGCAAATACGATCTTTTGTTCAGTCGAATGTTGACTGGCGTTTTTCATACAAATTGGTAGGTCATTATTTTATCACTGAATTGTTTACGGATTTGTCATTTTGTTCGAACATGACAAAGAGCACACGGCGGATGTGACTGTCACAGGGGATGCTTACTCCTTCATGATCCCCGATCCCACCTGTGATGTTTTAAGAGGTCCTTGTCTGCTCTACTCCCAATTTTTATTGTTCCTGTTCGTTAGCTTCATATTTCATTGGTATGCAAGCAGCTTCAGATAATTTGGATTCAAGTTTGTTCAGATCATGACCCTCGGGAATAGGTTGAGGCTACAATAGGCGATCAACAATAGGCAATCATCGTATTGATATTGAAGCATCCCAGTGTTGTTTAGGACTAGATTTTGTTTAGGGCTAGATTTTGGTTCACAAAATGGATTCAAGATTTTTTAAAAGAATTTGAAGAGGAAGGGGATTTAAAAAAATTAATGAAGTAGGGCCAAAGTGACTTAGGTGGGCGTTGTGGCACTTAGGCCTTTTGTTTTCACTTTAAATAAACAAATAACAGAAACTGTCATTCTTTTTACCTATTTTATACCTGTATGCACTTGTCCCCAGGAATTGTGTTCCTCGCGCATAAGATACAATCTTTACAAAATAAAAAAAAAACACCATGTACAAGCTTAAAACTTGGTTTGCTATACATAACACTTCATGATATATTGCACAAAAGACATAACTTTTAATGGCCATCCTTCTTGTGTAATAAATAATCAGATATATAAGCTTTACTTTTAGAAACACTTTCCATGAAAAGGCTATATATGCTCCGAGACATTTGTCATAAAAATTCTCAGACCTTTATCTACGTTGATCATTGAATCATGGCATCCTCTTTATCTGTAAAACATAACTCCATTCCATAGGTTTAGTAGTATTTCTGAGATGAGCCTTATAAAAAGGATACATAAAACACAGTTTAAGTTTGGCCCATAAAAAATTTTTACGTTGTACAGATCATGTTTCTCATTCTATAATGAAGGTCAGAGGAAGCTATGGATACACAAAAACACTTTTACAAAGTCCCTTACATGTTAGATATGAGAGGAAAAATCCCAAAAGGCGATAGTATCTTAGAAAAAAGAATACCTAATTTTTTCATGTACTACAGAAATAAAAAAAGACAATTGCTATGTAAATATTAGTTCTTCTTTATAGACGACTCGAGAAAATTTATAGATAATGCGCAGCTTATTTTCAGATAACACTTTTTTAATAGAATCTTTTTATTGTTGACTTTAGATTATTTTTATTTAAGAAAAACATCTTTGTTTCCAATTAAGAGTTGATACATGTTCAAGGCATTGTAACCTTATATCCAATTTGCCATCACAATAACAATTAAATTCACTTAAACTTTTAGAAATATCATTTTGAAATCTTAGAAAATAGAAATACCCAGTCGATATGCTGTTTTGTTTTTGATCTTGTGATCTAGTTTGAGCTAATCAAAGTCCTTGGATTGATAGTTGAGAAAAACCAGAGCCCCAACCTTACTGTTCTGTGCTACAGTATATTCTAGACGTGGTGTAAATCAGATATGGATTCTCAAAAACTCCAAAGAACTTTTAGAAAATTTAGGATCACCAAATTTCCAAAAGTCAGTAACACCAAAACGTACGATTTTTCTACACTTTTACAACCATTTCTTATGATAAATTAAAACTAGGCTTTTAGATAATAAAACAACTGCTTCTTCAATAAAAATGGATCTCAGAAATTTTCATATCTTGTGATTGATCATCAACAAAATTACTTTGTTAAAATCACTCGGAATCCACACACAAGTACTCTGACGTTGATATTAAAAGGATGCTGGAGTTCCAGATTGACAATTCAACGTTTATGTAGTCTTTGGAGACCAGGTCTACCAACAAGCTACTGGAATTTCGATGGACACTAATTGTGCTCCTTTATTTAACAGAATGTATTCAAAATCTTATGCATGAGAAGAAGGAAACACCTGTCTTGGCCTTCAAATAGACATTCAGATATATTGACGACGTTTTATCATTCAACAATTGTAGTTATTTCCATATGTCGACTCGATATATCCCAGTGAACTCGACACCACAGTTTCCGCCACATATATATTTCATATTTGGACGTTTAACTGACTATAGACGATAAGGGCCAACTACCAACTAAACTGTATGACAAATGAGATGACTTCTGGTTTTCCATCGTCATTTTTCTTTATTTTCAATGTTATGGTTTATGTCTCCCAACGTATTCGCCACTCAAGAACATGCTCTGAGTACGATCAATTTTGAAACCGAGACAGGCTACTTACAGATAAGTTGATGTTACAGGATTTCAACAACCTTTAAAGTCGGCATTTCGTCTTTGTTCGTTATAATGGCCTTGTTGTTAAATATAACCTATAATTGAGTCATATTTTTGCAGACTTTTTCATTACAATTGTTTGGCCTTTGTTTTACACTATATTTGTCTAAGGAATATTCCCTCTACCTGATCAATACATAGGGTTCACGGCTAGCGTGACCGATAGGCAGAGGATGCTTACTTCTCCTAGGTACCTGATTCCACCTCCGGAATTTCTATTGCTCTGTGTTTTATGCCCTGTTTCGAGATTTTTATTATTTGTAGATTTTTTTTTAAATCGATCACTATTCGTTATCTTCACCTTTTTCATATGGTTAGATCATAGTGATATCTCTCACGAGGATATTTTTAATTTGCAAATTTAAATTACAAAAGTGGATTATGTGAGCGAATAATCGATAATCCTTGGTTCGTTTTAGTGGATATCTTTTTAATGAATATAATCGAAACAAGTGGATTATGTAAACGAATAATTGATATCCATTGGTTCGTTTTGGCAGCTAATCATTTAAGTCTCGATATTTATTGAGTATTATATTGATTTTTAACATATACTGAAAGGGCTGTATATAATTTTTTTTAAATGAAGGTCTTATATGTTAAAAAATTGAGATATTCCTTTCGAAACCTTCAAAAATGAAATCATCTTTGAACATACCTCTTATCACCAATTACCGATAGGCTATCACGGAGAAGGTTCGAATTAAGTTTTAGGTCACCTGAGCTATCTTTTTTCGTCCGTCGTCGTTCGTCGTACGTCGTTCATAAACTTTTGAACATTTTCCTCTTCTTTTCTGAAACCACTGAACCAAATTCAACCCATCTATTGCTTAAGGTGAACAAATGTTGTGAAATTCATGGCCCCTGCCCCCTGGGGACTGGGGGGTGGGTGGGGCTAAAACCTTCAAAATAAATGCAATTTTCAAAATATTCTTTACTCCTTGACATCAAATGTCAAACTGTTGGCATAATTGTAATAAGCTTTGAAACCTTTAACAAAATTGTGAAATTCATGGCCATAGGGTCAGAGGTTCTGGTGCTTGGACGGGCTCTGTTGAATATATGTATTTTTTTTTTTTTCTTAAAACATCTTCTCCTCTGCTCCTGGGTATTAAGGAAACAAACGTCGTTGCATGGTTATGATGAGGAAGGTGCCTCTTCAAAAATTGTGAATTTCATGGCCCCTGGGTCAGGGCTTCTGATTTTAGGGCGGGGCTCTA